CACAAAGACTCAACCAAGAAAGAGAATTACAGGCCAATCTCACTCATGAACATCGACGCAAAAATCCTCAACAAAATACTGGCAAACCGAATCCAAGAACACATTAGAAATATTATTCATTATGATCAAGTAGGCTTCATCCCAGAGATGCAGGGCTGGTTCAACATACAAAAATCTATCAATGTAATCCATCATATAAATAACTGAAAGAAAAAACCATATGATCATTTAATTAGATGCTGAAAAAGCATTTGACAAAATTCAACATCACTTTATGATAAAAGTCTTGGAGAGATAAGGGATACAAGGGTCATACCTAAATATAATAAAAGCTATTTACAGGAAGCCGACAGCTAACATCAAATTAAATGGAGAGTAACTCAAAGCCATCCCACTAAAATCAGGAACATGACAAGGCTGTCCACTCTCTCCATACCTCTTCAATATAGTGCGTGAAGTTTTAGCAATAGCAATAAGACAACATAAGGGGATCAAGGTGATTCGAATCGGAAAGGAAGAAGTTAAACTTTCGTTATTTGCAGATGATATGATAGTGTACATAAGTGACCCCAAAAACTCCACCAAAAAACTCCTACAGCTGATACACACCTTTAGTAATGTGGCAGGATACAAGATCAACTACAAAAAATCAGTCGCCCTCTTATACACAAATGATATGGAAGCAGAGAGGGAAATCAGAGAATCATCACCTTTCACGATAGCCACAAACAGCATAAAATATCTTGGGGTAACTCTAACCAAGGAAGTGAAAGATCTATTTGACAAGAACTTTAAGGCATTGAAGAAAGAAATTGAAGAGGATACCAGAAAATGGAAGGATCTCCCTTGCTCTTGGATTGGGAGGATCAACATAGTAAAAATGGCAATTCTACCAAAGGCAATTTATAGATTCAATGCAATCCCCATCAAGGTCCCATCAAAATTCTTCACAGATCTTGAGAGGACAATAATCAACTTTATATGGAAAAACAAAAAACCCAGGA